GAGGAGTGTGGCCAGCAGGTCGAGGGAGGTTCTCCTTCCCCTCTACACTGCCCTAGTGAGGCCCCATCTGGAGTACTCTGTCCAGTTCTGGGCTCCCCACTTCAAGAAAGATGAGGAGCTACTGGAGAGAGTCCAGCGGAGGGCTACGAGGATGATGAGGGGACTGGAGCATCTCTGCTACGAGGGAAGGCTGTGGGAGCTGAGCTTGTTTAGCCCGAAGAAGAGAATGCTGAGAGTGGACCTTATAAATGCTTATAAATATCTGAAGGGTGGGTGTCAAGAGGATGGGGCCAGACTCTTTTCAGTGGTGCCCAGCAACAGGACAAGGGGCAGTGAGCATGAACTGAAGCACAGGAAGTTCCACCTGAACACAAGGAAGAACTTGCTTACTCTGAGGGTGACAGAGCACTGGAGCAGGCTACCCAGAGGACCTGTGGAGTCTCCTTCTCTGGGGATATTCAAAACTCTCCCGGATGATGCCCTCTGCAGCCTGCTCCAGGTGATCTTGCTTTGGCAGGGGGGTTGAACAAGGTGATCCCCAGAGGCCCTTTCCAACCCCTATTGTTTTATTACCACTCTGTGATAATCAATGTGAGCTTTTGTCCCACTCACCTTAATTCTTTCATTTAATTAAACATTTTTTCCATGGGAAAATCTGACAGAGAGATCATGCCATCTGCACTGTCACATACAGAGGTGACAAGCAGCTTTTTCCTCTTGGGGAAATCAATTCCACAGGGCACAAGAGAATACAGGGAGAGTTTGAATTCTCATTCTAGTTCCTTACAGTGCTGTTGCTTTAGGTGACTGTTAAATGGAAACTACACCCAGGCTAATAATACCACCTCATAATTAGCCCACTGAGTTCAGAAAACAGGATTCATGTTTATTGTGTGTCAAAAAGGCGCAGTATGTTCTCCTTTGTAACTAAGCCCTCAGAATGGAGTGCCCAGCAGTCAGTATCTCTTATTTCCCAAGAGACAAAGAAGATTTGTCTCTTCAGAGGCAAATTCTGATAATCGAAATCACTGTCGCACATTTTTAGCAGAGCCACAGTCTGCATGTGGACTTAACAGTAAAGGTTTAGTCAGTTGTAGATGTGTTGTTCCCATTTTTTACAGAGCTTCTAACTACATCAGGGTATGAAATACAGGGCAAGTTATACATAAGCTCGCTCTCTTCTGTCAGACTAAATGAGACCTGGATAATGTAACTCAACAAACTACACTGCAGCTGGAGGCAAAGTAAGCTATACGTGTTTGAAGCCACTGCAAAAAAAAGGAGGAAAAACCAAGTCTTTACACTTGCAAATGGTACCTTGAATGACTTCAGCAAGAAGGTAGAATAGTGACACAAATTAGGCAGGCAGTTTATATCTATACAGATACTTGTTCAGATCTAGAATACTACAAATCCAACAGCAACAGCTTTCCAGACACAATCAAACTCTTGCCTTTCCTTATCTGCTGGAGAGAACTGATGTCTGACTGCATTTTTCTTGCATCATTTTAAAACAATCATTAACCTATTACCAAAAACAGTTGTTCACAAGGTCTCTTACTAGCATCTGCAGGCCGTAAATGATCTGTGTCACATGTAAAGAATGTCTGATGGTCCTGTGCTGAAAGATTCATATCGTAGTAAGTCAAAGGTTCTCTTCCAGTTACCCATGTATACCTGTAAACAGGCCAACAAAGAGACATTTGGGTTAATGAGGTCACATTTGGCAAAATGAATCTAGAAAAGAACCCTAGACATTAAAGACAGGCATAGCCTAACAAGTTCACCCAGCCAATCTCCTAACCAACACACACTGCATTTCACTGTAATGTGATGGTGCGACAGTAGTTGAACCTAAGCTAATGAGGATGTTGGCAAGTCCAGACTGGAAATCAGTGACAGACGTATTAAAACATTAAGACTACAGGAAACCTAGATATAATTCATTGGATTGTTTCTTACAACTGATTTGAACAGAATTACTGTATTAACAGTACCAGGTACACTGCACACAGGTTTTCCATTTTATTATAAGATTGCCAAAAATTGCAGAAAGAACAAGTGCATGAATTTAAACTCCTTTTCATTCAGAAACATTTTACAAATGACACAAAAACCTGGTATGAGCATGCGTGTCAACAGTTGGTTTTATTTTTCTATCTCTGAGTTAGATTACCGGAAAAGTACAGTTAAGGTCCTTAACCCAGTACTATGCCTGAAACTGTAACATGATAGCACTTACCGATTATATTCAGCTCCTCTGAACAGATTTAAAGGATTTCGCCAGACTTTGCATTCTGTCATAAACAGAAACACACAATAATGAATCTCTCCCAAATTACAATGGCACTTGAAGTTTGTCAGAAACATCAGTTACCTTCTAATGAGGCTTATCAAATAACTTCTATTTTTTCTCGGTATAAAATGGGAAAAAAAAAAACAAAAGCACAGAGATGCAGGTAACCAGATTGTTTTGCCCTTTTAAAATAATAATTTAATTATAAATTAGTGTCAACAAATGCTATTATTCTAGACAAATAACCACTAACAAAGCTCCAAATGCTAGATGAAAAGATAATACTGATTAGTGCCAAGACTCAACATTTACCATAATGCAGAATTGAAGAGGCATCACACTGGGTTACTGCACTGAAAAACAGCAATTAATTCAGTCCCTATGGACTTGCTACTTCTACAGAAAAACTTTGCTGTCTATTTAATACTGTAAATCACTGAGAACCTCAGCTACAGTTGCCAAATTTAATCCCTCCTTAGTTCATGAAGTAAAACATCCACGGCAACATCTGCTAACCTTACTGAAGTTATAAGCATCCCAGGGCTGACAAAGGATGCTGAAGTTGATTGGCAGAGAAAAGTTCATTGCATTGCAAAGGTTTGGGAACACTAAAAGCCTTTCATGTATTTCTCTCATGGGGAAAAAAAACGTAAGTTCTTCACACTACAGGTAGGAAGAAATAAGAAAATCCACAACACCGCAATTTAAAATAGAACTAAAAAAAAAAAAAAAAAAATCACAAAAATCAGTTTCTACTGCTTCTGAAAAGGTGAGGTCTTGATTCTGGCTTTTATTCCTTTAATTTAACATCAGATTTTATCTCCTCATTTCAACAAAGACAACTCACTCCAGCGAAGGTGAGACTAGAATTAAACCCAGTATTTGCAATGAAGACTCACTCAGAGGCAGCATGTCGTTCCACCCCAAATCTGCTACTGGATGACCCCTCACATGGTGCTCTGCAAAAACTCATCAGTAGCACCAGCCCTGCAGCATTTCACCAGCTGCTTTCCACCACCAAAAGACAACCAGAACATTTCTTCCCTGTGAAACTCTGTGACATCGTTTCTAAAGTGATCACAGGAACAGTTTTCTGGTGAGATACTGAGTCAGCAGGGTATCTACCCTACTTTACACAACACTGGTAAGCATATGCCTGTGTTCTTTATGCCTCTTCCATTAAAGAAAGAGACAGAAAAACAGAACAGCGAGTCAAGCCCTTCTCTTTTCTCATGGTCATAGCTCCCACTTCTGAGTTTGAGGCTGAACTGGCACAGAGAGAAGGCATTTTACATAAATTATTTGCAATAACATAATGACACCTGAAGCTACACAAAAACTAGTCAAGGGGCACAGAAGGCAGGTCCTCAGCTTGGTGCCTACATTACCTAACACGTGCATGGACAGAGACGGGGAAGGGAAGATGTCTGGGAAGGGAGCATTGATTACACATCTACATCTTTCAACTAACCACTTCAGCAGGCAGCTAGTATCAGAAAGCTCTGCTAGTTTACTCAGCAGAAGTGCTCGATCAACATTCAGCCGTTCTGCTGTGCAGCCAGAGGGTATGGCTGTTTGACAAGCTTCAGTCTGACAGTTTTTACATAACATGACTTTCAAACCATAGCAAATATTAAATAAACTTCAGTCTTCTCAGTTCCAGAGGTACAATTCAACGGCTTGGGTTACTCTGTTTGCAACCAACAAGATTAGGCAACAACTATTTGATCACAGTGACGCTATTCTTCTCGCTCGTCTTATTTAAGTGGTTACACTTTATCCGAAGTACACAGTACTTCAGCACTGTAGCAGGGAAAGGGGGAACTGGGGGACGAAAAGGGGAGGCGAAGAAGGGATTTTATTACCACCTCCTGTCCTGTGGGCAGTCTGACATCTCTCTGGCTAGTTAAACACGATAGGCTCTTTGTTGCTTTCGTCTTGGTATCTGCTGATACCGTGGCCTCAGTACAACCACCATTTTCCTGACCTTTCTGAAGGCAAAGATATGTCACCACAGTCAAACATCTACAGACGAAAACAAGGTAAGCCAAGTGAAAAAGCCACCTTCACCTTGTTGGACAGTGAAAGAAATATCCCAGTGCTGACACATGGTAAACTGAAAAGGCTGTCTTTTCTGTTATGTTACAGCTAATAATATAAGTACGTCCTTATTTTATATAAGCAATTAGGATTTACTGAGGATTAATCTTTCAGCTCCTTGTTTAATGATCAAGTTTTGTGCACTGATATCTTTCTGAAGGCACAAATAACAGGCTATCTGTACAGACACACTACCCAGAGACACTCCGAAGTACCAATGCACTGAAATCAAACACACTCCTCGACTATTTCTTTCTATCAGAAAAGTCGAGATGCTCGGGTGAACCTTGTTAGTAAAAAAACTGTGCCTTCTGCTTTAAAACGATGGGAGTTATTTCAGAGCTGCTGAAGTGTGACTGAGCACACTGATGAGTGCACACAGGTGTTTCCAAGCCACCCCATGATTTCTGCCAGTTCACCCAAATCTAATATCCTGGACCATGCAGTGCTGCTATTCACAGCCTCTCCTCAGATGGGAGTGACAACAGCTGAGTTTGCCATGCTACACGCCACTTAGGCTTCCCTAAGTAGAAGCACCCAGTAGAGAGGGAGGTTTTTTGAGGCCATCTATGTTATTTAACTTGTGAGGTCAAAGCTAGGTTTTGTTTGCTTGTTTTCATGAACACTGAAGACCAGCAGTAAAATTTGCCAGGTACAGACATAGGCACCTCAGCTGCTAACAATAATGTTTTCTCCATAACCAAATTTGTTGGGTTTTTTCATTGTAAATGAAATAAACATATGTATATTGTAATATGTAAATTTTACTTGTAAATTCTGATACACCTTAAAAGCCTGCAAGGGAAATAAATTTAACGAAACCATAATTGATTCTAGGGGCACATCCCTAATGAAAGCTAAATTAATTTCCCATATTAAGATTATGGCCTGCATGCCAAACTAGGGCTGAAACAGGTAAGCTTCGTTTTAAAAACGAGGAACACAAGCCGAGATGCTCCTGCCCTGATTTTCTTTAACAGTCAGTATCTCCAACTTTAGCCAGAAGCAATAGTATTTCAGCATCTTCTGGGCTAAGTTTTCAATTCATCCCCTCCAGACAGGTGAGTCATCCAAGCAGGGTGACGAGTTGCCCTAGGACTCGTCTTCAGTCCAGGAAGACCAGTGCTTGGAGGCTGATTCATTTTAGGCAGACACTGGCCTGTCTCTCAGAGGAACCATCCGCGGGCAACCAGGTACCCGACTCCAACTGCCTCAGCGGAATCCCAGACCCCGTGATGCAAATGAAGTGACCCGCAGGGACAGTCCTCCTGCAGCAGAGCTGTAACAGGACTCACGCTGCCGCAGCTCAAAAGGCTGACCTAAGAGCTGACGACTTCTGATTTAACACTGCCTTTTTCACCAGAGCAAGTAGATCTGTATTTTCTACAGTAATATATAAACGCACAACAAAAATTACATGAGCGGTGTTAAGTGTACGAGTTGTAAGGCTCTCAAAACACCCCCTCAATCATGTGTTCATTCAGAATAATCATATGCATTAGAACAGAAGCCCCAGCGTGTCAAGGCCAACTTTAAAGGCTTGAATGGCTTGGAGTCAGACACCTTCAGCCCGATTGGCAGCACCCACTCCTTGCGCTGAAACTCACGGGGGCTGTGAATCCCTGGAAGCTCACCAAAACCCAGCCCCAAATGCCTGAAATCAGGGCCCCTGAACTGGACGCCTTTTTTTCAAAACCTGACTGCGTTAAGACTTGCCCAAAATCACATCAGTAGCAGAGTCAGGAACAGAACAAGCCCTTCAGCTATTAAAAGCTGCTGTGCTTCCATTTACTGAAGTGAAATCCAAATGTTGTTCCCACACCATTTACATTATCCAAAAAATAAAGCTATGCAAAAGCAAATGTGCATTCCCAACGTCCTTTTCTGATTTTCTTTTCCAGTATTAGTTTATTCAAAAGAATTTAAATAAAACTACTGCCTGCCTTTAGAAATGATATTGCAGAAAGTGCACGTGCAATTCGGCAGGGCTTTCAGAACAAGCGGGAAATGGAGGCACCAGCAGCGCAGCCTGAGCAACAAGCGCTGCATGAGTTTGGAAAGACAGAACTAGCCACAGCAATTAACGAAGCAGCTCTGCCTTTTATTTGAGAAAAAAACAAGTTTAAAGGAAGCCTCGTCTGGCCTCACGGCTCAGCGCGAGATGGTGTTTGTAGGGTGGGCGCCTGAGGTGCGTCCAGCTCCC